GGATGAACTCACAAAGGCTGTGCTTGCGATTGGTGTACGCCAGGAAGCGCGGGCTTAGGAAAAGCGGGAGATAAGGGCGGAGCGTTTCCATGACAACCGCATTCCGGAGATGCCGAGGGAGCCTTCCCAGGCAGCGGAGCCGATGGAAATTGATGGAGCGTGCGCTCGCGCGAAGTTTCAAACGCTGGGGAAGGTCGGAAAAAGGAGTGGAAAACTACCAAGAAGTGTTTCCTCTGTCAGAGGGGGGGACATTTTGCAAAGGTCTGCCCTCAACGAAAAGCCTGGCAAGGCATGATGGGGGCTGCAGACCACGACGATAAGGGGGAGGAAGAGCAGGTGCAGGGAAACGACAACGCCTGGCTGCCAACCAGCAGGGGCAGCAGCCAGGCCAGCAACCAATAGAAGTGCCCCAGCCTGACCCCCCCAAGGCAGCTTTAGCCATAGAGGTGGTACTAGAACTCCCAAATGGGCACCCAGTCAAAGTGGAGGGGCTGCTAGATTCTGGCAGCTTGTGTAATTTCTTCAGCAGAGACTTCGCTCTGGAGCACCAGCTCCACCTGTTGCCACTAGATTTTCCCTTGCAGGTGACCACCATCGATGGCAGGGAACTCCTGGGAGGGGAAGTGACACACCAGACACCGCCAATGCGAATGAGTGTCTCCAGACACACGGAGACCATTGCCTTTCACGTGGCCATGCTGGCAGGACCCCCGATAATACTGGGCATGAGCTGGCTGGCAATACATGACCCAGTGGTGTCATGGCATCAGCGGTCGGTCACCTTTGGGTCAGCTTACTGCTTAGAACACTGTCTGGGAGGGAAGGAACCAAGAAGGACTGTAGCCAGGGTGGCTGGGGTGGCCCTGGAGCAAAAGAGGGAGGTGCCAACACAATATGCTGATTTGAAGGAGGTCTTCAGCGAGAGGGAGGCAGACAGACTGCCCCCCCACAGGCCATTTGACTGCCAAATCAACCTGCTTCCAGGGGCTCAGTTACCGGTGGGTAAGCTGTATGCCATGTCCGACCGGGAGATGCAGGAGTTGCGGCAGTTTATTGACAAGAACCTGAAGAGAGGTTTCATAAGGGAATCAAAGGCGGTGGGAGGCAGTCCAGTGTTCTTTGTGGACAAAAAAGAGACTAATCAACCCAGATTAGTCGTGGATTACAGGGCCCTAAACCTGGTGTCAGAACCCGTGACTTTCCCAATGCCCAGGATTGACAATATTTTGACACGTGTGAGGCAGGGGAAGATTTTTACTAAGCTGGACCTCAGGGGAGCATACAATCTGATTAGGATAAGGGAGGGGGGCGAATGGAAAACGACCATGTTCACCCCCCTGGGGGCTTTTGAGTACTTAGTTATGCCCTCTGGATTACAATCGGGGTCCGCCTGCTTTCAAGCCTTCATTCACCATGTGTTGGGGCCCCTGCTGTACAAGAATTGCGTAACCTTTCTGGATGACGTCTTAATCTATTCAGACAATGAAAAGCAACACGTCAGAGACGTCAGGGAGGTACTACAGAGATTGAAGAAGCATCAGTTGTGGGTCAAGCTGGAAAAATGCCAATTCCACGCCAGGGAGGTCGAGTTCCTGGGGTACAAGTTGTCAGACAAAGGCCTAGCCATGGATCTGGGCAAGGTGAAGGCAGTGCTGGAATGGAAAGCCCCCCAAAACAGAAAGGATGTGCAGAGGTTCCTAGGCTTCAGCAAATTCTACAGGAAGTTCATAAAGAACTTCGCTCACTTGACAGCGCCCATAACAGATTGTCTTAGTAGCAAAAAGAAGTTCGCGTGGACAAAGGATGCGCAGCAATCCTTTGAAAAACTGAAGAAGGCGTTCGCCTCGGAAGAGCAGCTCCTGCATGTGGATCCGGAGAAGCCCATGAGACTGGAGACAGACGCGTCCGACAGCGCGATCGGAGCGGTCCTTTTGCAGCCAGGGGCCAAGCAGAACTGGATGCCGTGTGCCTTTTTCTCTAGGAAGCTGAGCAAGTCGGAGCAAAACTACACAGTGTATGACCGAGAACTGCTTGCGATCTATACGGCATTTCGGCAATGGAAACATCTATTGATAGGGGCATGGCACAAGATCCAGGTCCGAACTGACCACAAGAACTTGGAATACTGGCGGACCGCGCGAGTGTTCAACCAGAGACAGATCAGTCTCAGGAGTTCGCCAAGTTTTTCTTCGAGATCCGATACGTGCCGGGAGAGGAAAACGTAAGGGCAGATGCTCTCTCCCAGAAACCGGAGTACATGGAAGGAGAGGGGCCACCAGAGACCAGGCACGTGTTCCCTGAGGACCAGTGGGTGTGTGGGGGAGCGTTGGTTGGGAAACGAGAACTGGCAGGGCCCATCAGAGATGATGAGTTTGCTCAGACAAAAATCAGGGAACTCAGGGACGGAAAGGAAGTCAATGGAGGGTTTGAGGAAAAGGAAGGACTACTGTACTATAAGGGGGCGCTGTATGTACAAGGGGAGACTTTGAGGGGGAAGGTACTTAGACAACTCCATGACAACCCAACAGCTGGGCACTTTGGACAGCACAAGACCATGCTACTTGTCACCAGGCAGTTCTGGTGGCCAAAGGTGAGGGAAGACGTAAGAGAATATGTACGAGGGTGCAACCGATGCCAGAGGGCAAAGGGGAAAGGGCTGCCCCGCGGGCTACTGGAACCCTTACCTACACCGGGAAGGCCCTGGGAGGTGGTGTCCATTGATTTTATGACAGATCTGCCCAAGTCAAGGGGAAAGACAGCGGTCATGGTAGTGGTTGATCTACTGACCAAAATGTGCCATTTCGTAGCTTGCTCACATGCAGCAACGGCAGAGGAGACAGCCAGGCTGTTTGTGGATCACATTTTTAGACTGCATGGGGCTCCATTGAGGGTAATCTCGGATCGCGGGAAACAATTTACTTCCCGGTTCTGGCGGAGACTCATGAGCTTGCTACAGGTCGAGGTGAGCTTCTCGACGGCGAGGCATCCAGAAACCAACGGACAAGCCGAGAGAGCGAACGGCATACTCCAGCAGTATCTACGCTGCTATGTCAGCGAAAGGCAGAACGATTGGGTAGAGAAATTAGCTTTGGCTGAATTTGCGTACAATAACACTGAACACGTGTCCACGGGAATGAGCCCTTTCATGGCCAATTACGGGTGTCACCCTAGGGCCTTCCCGGGGCGGGGGGAGGAAGGATGGAGTGTACCTGCGGCTGAGCAATTTGTGGAGGAAATGGAGGCCTTACACCAGCAACTCAGGCTGAACTTGGAGCGGGCCAAGGAAGTCTACAAGAGGCAGGCAGGCAGGCACCGTCGGGAGGGGGAGGCCATACGGGTGGGGGACAGGGTGTGGTTGTCGTCCCAAGGGTTGCCCCTAAAGGGAGGGTGCAAGAAGTTGCAGCCAAGGCGGCTGGGGCCTTTTGAGGTAATACAGCAGGTTAACCCCATGGCATTTAAACTCAAGTTGCCTGACAGCATGAAGATACATCCGGTGTTCCATAGGTCCCTACTTTCACCTTACAGGGAGGGGCGGGAATTCCCGGGACGGGAGGGAGGGGTTACCACCCACCCGTGGGTAGAGGAGAGGGAACACTGTAACAAAGCCACGGAAATACTCGATTCAAGGTGGCGAGGTCGCCAGGTAGAGTACTTGGTAGCCTGGGAGGGGGAACCCAGGTCGGAAAACACTTGGGTCCCGGCTGAATCGATCACTGACGGGTATCTGGTGGAAGAATTCCACGGTTTGTTCCCGGAGAAGCCCAAACCATTAGCTAGATTCTGGGAGGAAGAATTTGGACCCACAGACGACGGAGGGGACTTTGTGGGTTTCCCTGCCTCCGAAGAGGAGGGAGGGGAGGTGTCTGAGGGAGAAGGATCAGACTGGGAGATTCAACCAGCGGGGAGAAGTCCGAGCAGATGGGAGGCTGGTTTTGAATCCTCAGAAGATGATGACAGTTCCTTCAGGGGATTCCCCGTATCGTCGACCGAGGAGAGAGAGGAGGTTGTACCGGAAAATCGAGCCAGGGGTGGGGGGTGGGGGTCCTGAGGAGGAGGTGGATGTCAGGTAACTGCCATCAGTGCCGGAGGGAGAGAGCAAAATCCAGAGGGATTCCGGAGAGCGTCCGGAGCTTAACCCAAACTTTTTTGTTTTGTTTTTTCCCCGTTAAAGCATTCTGGTCTCTTCTGTTTCTCCAGGGACTTTGGGGGCTGCGTGACGATATTCCTCCCCATTGAGGAAGATTGATTTCTTGTCACATAAGTTCAGCAGTTAAGAAAAAAGGTGCTTGTCCTGTTTCCCACACCTGTCACATTGACTTCTATAATGAACCCATTACACAGACCTCAGAAACGAATGGAAATCTCTTCTGACAGCACTTGTCAAATGAATAGGCAGGAAGGTGAGGACGATGTATTCAATGCGGTGAACTTTCAGCGCTTTTGTGGACACTGACAGGGGACTCAGGCTCAGTTGTCAGATTGGGGCAATGGATCGGGGTGGCATGGCGTGGAGAGGAAGGAAGGAAAATATGGAATATATTTGTTATTTATTTCTATCAGTCCCATTCAGAAATCTGTCTTCCCAACTTCTTAAAAGTTTTCCTCCCTTCTATGAAAGAGGCCTTCCATTTTCTTGCATCAGTCACAAGCAAGCTCTAGGATATAATTTGGGTGGTTGCCGGATGGCCAAGGTGGCAGAAATAAATAATAATAATAATAATAATAATAATAATAAATTTTATTTATATCCCGCCCTCCCCAGCCAAAGCCGGGCTCAGGGCGGCTAACAACAATCAAATAATCAAACAATCAAATAATCCAACATTCTAAAACATTTCATTATAAAAATTAATTAAAATCAAATTAATGGCAACCGTTAAGCAAAGTTCTGTGCAGGTTGCCAGAGGAGGGAGTCAGGCTGGGCCCTGACCAAAGGCCTGGTGGAACAACTCTGTCTTGCAGGCCTTGCGGAAAGATGTCAGGTCCCGCAGGGCCCTAGTCTCTTGTGACAGAGCGTTCCACCAGATTGGAGCCGCAGCCGAGAAAGCCCTGGCTCTAGTTGAGGCCAGCCTAACCTCTCTGAGGCCTGGGACCTTCAGGATGTTTTTATTTGCTGACCGTAGGTTCCTCTGTGGGGCATACCAGGAGAGGCGGTCCCGTAGGTACGAGGGTCCTAGGCCGTATAGGGCTTTAAAGGTTAAAACCAGCACCTTAAACCTGATCCTGTACTTCACCGGGAGCCAGTGCAGCTGGTATAGTACCGGATGAATGTGATCTTGCAGCGAAGACCCCATAAGGAGTCTCGCCGCGGCATTCTGCACCCGCTAGAGTTTCTGGGTCAGTCTCAAGGGCAGCCCCACGTAGAGCGAGATACAATAATCCAGTCTGGAGGTGACCGTCGCGTGGATCACAGTGGCTAGGTCAGGGCGAGAGAGATAAGGGGCCAACTGCTTAGCTTGGCGGAGATGAAAAAATGCCACCTTTGTTATAGTTGTAATCTGCGCCTCCATAGAGAGGGAGGTATCGAAGATTACACCCAAACTCTTAACGGACGGTGCTGGCACTAATTGCACCCCCGCAAGAGATGGGAGTTGCCCCCCCAATCCCATATCGTCCCGTCCCAGCCAGAGGACCTCTGTCTTCGAAGGATTTAACTTCAACCGGCTTCCACGTAACCATCTGGCCACAGCTTCCAAACATCTGGTCAGTGTGTCTGGGGCCGAGTCAGGATGGCCATCCATCAACAGATAGAGTTGGGTGTCATCGGAATACTGATAGCAACCCAGCCCAAAACTCCGGACAAGCTGGGCGAGGGGGCGCATAAAGATGTTAAAGAGCATCAGGCAGAGAATCGCACCCTGAGGCACTCCACACACCAAGGAGTGGCGCGATGACAATTCCCCCCCAAGCGCCACCCTCTGTCCCCGACCAGAGAGAAACGAGCGCAGCCATTGAAGGACTGTGTCCTGGATCCCCATGTCGGCAAGGCAGTGGTCCAGGAGTTCGTGATCGACCATGTCGAAGGCTGCTGACAGGTCTAGAAGAATCAGCAGCCCCGACCCGCCTCGATCCAGCTGCCTGCGGAGATCATCTGTTAGGGCGACCAGAGCCGTCTCGGTCCCATGACCAGCGCGGAAGCCGGACTGGAATGGATCCAGAGCCGATGTTTCATCCAGAAACCTACCAAGCTGTTCAGCAACCGCTCTCTCAATCACCTTACCCAGGAATGGAAGATTCGAAACCGGGCGGTAATTGGATAGATCTAAGGGATCTAATGATGTTTTCTTTAAGAGCAGGCGCACCACTGCCTCCTTCAATTCCCCTGGAAATATCCCGGTGCCAAGGGACAAATTGATGATATCCCCCAGGGGGGCCCTCACCTCATCTGGACACGCTCTAATCAGCCAAGACAGGCACGGGTCAAGAGGACAGGTGGTGGGCTTTCCAGCTCGGAGGAGTCTGTCCACATCGGCTGGGGATATCCGATCAAAGTGGTCCAATACTGGACCCGAGGACAGTCGAGGGGCCTCCAGTTCCTTTATTGTATCCAAATTGGCAGGGAGGTCATGGCGGAGCAACAGGACCTTCTCCGCAAAAAGCTCGCAAATGCCTCACAGCTGTGTGTCAGATTGTTATTTAAATTTGGCTGTCCTTCAAGGGACGTTAAAGACCTAATTATACGAAATAATTGCGCCGGGCGAGAGCTAGCGGATGCAATGGAGGCCGAGAAGTAAGACTTCTTAGCAGCCTTCACTGCCATCTCATAGGTTTTCATAAAAACCCTATAAGATGTTCTTGAGGCTCCGTCACGGGCACCCCGCCATACTCGCTCTAGCCGTCTGAGGTCCCGCTTCATTTTCTGAAGCTCCTCGGTAAACCAGGGAGCCCGGTTTCTGCGGAATCGCAGAGGGCGCTTAGGTGCGATCTCATCGATGGCTGCCAGGAGCTGGATATTCCAGCCCTCAACAAGCTCTGTCAATGAGTCGCCAGGGGGAGCAAGGTCCCGCAAGGCTTGACGGAATCTATCAGGATCCATCAGCCTCTGCGGGCGAGCCCAAATCAGCTCGCCACCTAAGCAGGGTGGGGGTGGAAAATCAATCCTGGCTTTCAGAGCGTAGTGATCAGACCATGGCACCTTAATTAAAGGAGACATGATCACATCTATACCTATGCCAAAGATCAAATCCAGTGTGTGGCCTGCTTGATGTGTGGGGCCTGAAACAAACTGGGAGAGCCCTAGTGTCGCCATGGAAGACACCAGGTCCAGAGCCTGTGAGGAGGGAGTGGCATCAGCATGGATGTTGAAGTCCCCCAATACCAATAGGTTAGGGAACTCCAAGGCCCAGCCGGCCACCGCCTCCAGCAGGCCTGACAGGGTGGCTGCTGGTGCGCTAGGTGGCCGGTACACCAGCCAGACAGCCAAGCTCACCTCAGAGCCCCACACTAAGCCAACACATTCAATGCCGGGGATCGATGGCGATGGTAGAGCCCTGAAAGAACAATCTTCCTGGATTAATAATGCCACCCCTCCCCCCTGGCCCACAGTCCGCGACTGGTGGAGGACAGAGAAACCCGGGGGTGCCATTTCTCGTAAGGTAACTGTTGCCCCTTCGCGTACTTAGGTCTCCATCACACAAGCCAGGTCGACCCCCTGCGAGGTAAAGAAATCTCGCAGAGTGGCTGTTTTGTTGCCTATAGACCTGGCATTGCACAGCACCAGTGACGGAGGTGAGTAATCCTTGCTCACCCTACCCTCGTCCCTCGGGATGGGGTGCAGATTGGAAGGGGTACGAGCATATCCGTATCTCGATCCCCTTCGCCTATAACATCTGCCCCCACCACCATACCTCCCTCGCCCCTCCACGGTAGCAATCCCAAGCCTCATACAAGCCTCCATTTACAAAATAGAAAAACAAAACAGACCAAAAACAATTATGCCTAAACAAAACCAATCCCCACCCCAAACCACAATAAAATGGAACAAAATAAAAATACATAGATAAAAACCACTGTTCACGGTGGTACAACAAAGTAAAAAGTAAAAACACCTTTAAAACACTTTAAAATATATAAAAACATTTTTAACATTTGCTGCAGGAGCACCAGTGTCCTTAAAGCTGTAGCGGAGATGAGTCTGGGCCCCTCCCCCTAGGCCAGGTGGAATTAGCCTGAGGAGGGAGCGGCCTTCCCCCACACTCACAGTGCAGCAGCAGCAGTGGTGTCCCAGTGCCTCAATGAGGCCTCTTAAAGCTGTGGCGAAGGTGAGTCTGGGCCCCGCCCCCTAGGCCTGGTGGAGTTAGCCTGAGGAGGGAGCGGCCTTCCCCAACACTCACGGTGCAGCAGCAGCAATGTCCCAGTGCCTCAATGAGGCCTCTTAAAGCTGTGGCGAAGGTGAGTCTGGGCCCAGCCCCCTAGGCCAGGTGGAATTAGCCTGAGGAGGGAGCGGCCTTCCCCCACACTCACGGTGCAGCAGCAGCAGAAAGTGTGTGTGTTGTTCTAACTAAGCATTTATGCCACCCCCTATTGTCCTTGACAGCTGCACCCACTTCCTGATCCAAAGAAGGACCATGAGAAGAGTTACCTCTTAAATAATTTAAACAACAACAACAACAACAAATCTTCCTCTTCCCCTGCTGCTGTTGGTGGGGTGCCACTTCCACTCTAGAATGGAGGTGAATTGCCATGCACATGCTGTTTTGGAACAAGAAGCCTCATTTGGTTTATCCCTGGAAAGGAGGTACTGGACTCACATGTACAATAGGGGTTGGCAGGTGGCCAGGTTTTTTAACCTAGTTTCACCTCAACTTCTTCCTCTTTCTTCTGCCTTAGGCTTGGCACGTACACCTTAACAAATGATGTACAGCAGGGCCAGGGTGCACAGTTCAGGTTCACATACCCAAAGTTATGTGGATTCACATACCAGAAGTTAGCAGGGAGGGAGAATTTACTTCTAATCCTTTGCTGTATGGCCACAGACCGCAGCTGTACCTAGGAGAGAAGAGGGAAAGGATTTAAGCTTTCCTCATCACTTAACCTCACCTGACCAGAATCCTGCAATTCAGTTAATTTTTTTAATAGGTTGCAGACATTCTAAATTGTTATATTTACTAAATATAAGCATTTCTGCTGCATAGGTTGGTGCATGTGTGTTGGCAATGCTGGTTTTATCTGTGCTTGTTTTATTTATTGGTGGGCTTGCTTTGAATGTTGTTGTTGTTCGTTTTATTTCTATACCGCTTTATATTCAGGGGGGGCGGGAATCTCGAAGCAGTTTACAACATACATTAAAACATCAAATGAAGCAATCTGTAATAAAACATTACTAAAGTACACATTCAAAGCAAAGTAATTAACAGGGAACTATATTATTATTTTAAAGATTTTGAAACGAAACATTACAAAGAAGGTCAACTACAGAATGCACATTTAATGCAGCAAGGTTAACAAAAATTATCTTAAACATTTCAAAGGAAATAATTACTACGGGAAGTCAAATATAAAATGCACCTTTGAAACAAGAGAATTAGCAACAGAATAAAATAGTATCATATGCATAGATTAACTTTGTTATGATGTCTATCTGTAGCTATATCTATATATTTTATAGTTATTCTCATTGAAAGACGGGATGTAAATGTACAAGTAAACAAATGTAAAGCATATAAAATTTCTCTTTTTTTATAATAAATTTTTATTAGTTTTCGATATACCGTATTTTTCGCCCCATAGGATGCACCGGCCCATAGGACGCATCAAGTTTTTTTGGGGGGGAAATAAAGAAAAAAAAATTATTTCCCCCCCCAGGAGCTTGCGGGGCAGGCAGCTGGGAGAAGCGCTCTTCTCCCCGCCGCCCGCCTTGAGATCAGGTCCGGGGACAGCGGGAAGACGCGCTGCGCCTCCCAGCTGTCCCTGGAGCTTGCGGGGCAGGCGGCGGGGAGAAGCGCTCTTCTCCCCGCTGCCCGCCTTCAGACCAGGTCCGGGGACAGCGGAAAGATGCGCTGCGCCTCCCCACTGTCCCCGGAGCTTGCGGGGCTGGCGCACCGACCCCTCTCGCTCTCCAGGCTTCAGTGAAAGCCTGCATTCGCCCCATAGGACGCACACACATTTCCCCTTCATTTTTGGAGGGGAAAAAGTGCGTCCTATAGGGCGAAAAATACGGTAATCATACAATTTTATCCAAATTTTACCTGATTTTAAGAAAGTACAAATTTTGGACTTCCTTCAACTTCTCTGGTAATCATTCATTTTTACCCTTCAGTACGCATTCCTTTAATTGCATTGCCATTTGTCTTCCCTCCCTTTTCTATTTACTTTCAGCAATTCCTCTTAAAGTTTTACAGTGCTTCTTGAAACCCCACTAGCGTTGCTTGCACCTCACATATATTTTTCAGATAATCTACAAATTTTCCCCAATCCTCGATGAACTTTTGGTTTCAGGCATATCTTATTTTCCCAGTCAGTTTGTCCAGTTACTTTTTTTATATATATAAATATTTATTAAGGTTTTCACAACATTACAAAATGAAAAAGAAAAAAAAGAAAAAATACAAAATAAAAATAGTTAAAAACAATTCAATCTTTCCATCACTTATCTTTCATTTGCTTGTTTCCTGGACCTCCTCATACCTCCCTTTTTTGTATTCCAGTTCAATTTATTAGTTCAGCAATTCCTTTCCCTCCTTATTTTATCCTGATCTTTAATCTTAATATATTATAGCATTAAATTTTTACCTGTTAAAAATCCATTTTTTCATATTCTTTTATACCATTACAGCTAGAAACCACTTAACTTCAATCCAACATCATTCTAACATTCATTAATTTTGCAGTATTTCTGTAAATAGTCATTAAATTTCTTCCAATCTTCTTCCA